GCCCAGCGCTGCAGGCGCTGCCGCGGGTGGCCACCGGCGACGGCCTGGCGGCGGCGGGCGACGAGGCGGCGGCGGTGGCGGCGGCGGCGGGGCCCTCCTCCCTGAAGCAGGAGGCGGCGGGCGTGGCGGCGGTCGGCAGCGCCTGCCCCTACTTTGGCTGAGCGGCGTGTCGCTGCCGCGGCGGGCAGGCGCAGCGGGCTGGGCTGTTAACCTCCCCACCTCCCCACCTACTTATGTATCTAGTACACCGCTGCTTGACAGCCGCCCGCCCCTCTCCGGCTGCCTGCCCCCTTAAAGGCAGCGCAGTGCGCGCCACCGTACCGCCTGTTCCTGTATTGTACCGCCGCCCTGGGGCCCAGCCCTCCCGCTTCCGCGCCTCTGCGCCCCGCCGCCGGCGGCAGCACCGGCGCCGGCGCCGCCCTCACGCACCCACCGCTCGTGCACTGTGTATGCTTGCCTCCCTCCCCCTGCCCTCTTCACAGCTCTCTGATGCCTTCCCTCGAGCAGCCTCTATCCCTCGTTTTTTTCCAGGTCTTTTCGCTCCCCTCTCCCGCTCCATGCTCCCTACTACTACGCTCCCCTCTCCCTGCCCTCCCTGTGCACTTATGCCTACTAAAAACTTCTTTCACAATTCTGAGCCGCCTGTGCCCCACACATTGGGGAGGCGCGCCAACGAATACCCCAACCGCAGAGCACAAACACTGACCCCGAACCCTATTACCAATACCGCGCGCCGTGCCGCGCAGCTTTTGCTCTGGGGGTGGGGACCGCCTCCCGCCCCCGTTTTCCCTCCTTTTCCCCGCCCTACCATCCGTACCTTATTACTCACCCGGCCCCTACTAATACTAACAACTCGCAGCAGAGCGGCTAGCACTGGGGAGAGCCTCTGACCCCCGCTCTCTGCCGGCACCTCGCAATATATGTAAGCCCAGCAACGAAAACGGTGCGCTGCGCTGGCAGGGGCTGGGGCTGGGGGGCACGGGAGGGGAGAGGTCTGCAGCGCTGGCAGGTGGGGCCGCGCGCTGCTGCATGCTGGGGCAGCTTACACCTTGCCACCCTCACGGGGCGTGTGGGTGACAGAAGGAGAGGGGAAAAAGGAGGCAGCAAGAGGCACACAGATGCTGGAGGGTGTCCGCACGGCTCGCGCCTGCTGCTCTCCACCTGTGCTGCCGGCGCAGGCTGCGGGCCCGCCCCCCTCACTTCTGCCTGCCCTGCCCGTAAGCCTCCAGCAGCGCCTGCTCCTCCTCCGCCAGGCTGCCGCCGCCACCATGCGCCCACTGGCCGCGCAGGTTGGGGTTGCGCCACGCGTTCTGCGCAGGGGCGGGGCGGGGCGGGGCGAGGAGGGTGGGTGGGTGGTGTGGGAGAGATGCATCCACACTGATGTGAGTATGGATGGCAGGCCAGCTGACCACAGCAGCAGGCCGGCAGGCGGCAGGCAGCAGACAGTACTCCGGCAAGCGGGGCCGCCCGCAGAGGCACGCATCCCCAGGCATGCTGCGGGCAGCGCCCCCACGACCCGGGCCCCAAACGCAGCGGTTCAGGCGGCAATGCCAGGCAGCCTGCCCTGCCCTGCCTTGCCCGGCCCGGCCTGGCCCGGCCCGGCCCTGCCCGGCCTCGCCACCCTTCACACCTGAGGGTGGACTTTGGTGGCCCTCATAAACTGATCCAAGGGCTGCTTCCCTTTCTTCCCCTTCTTGCTGCCGTCGCCGCCGCCGCCGCCCGCCGCGTGGCCGCCGCCCCGGGCGCCCGAAGGCGCTGCCGAGGGCAGCGCGGGGAAGGCATCGGGCGAGGGTGCCGCCGCCACCGCCGCCGCCGCCGGAGCTGCCGCCGGGTGCCGGAGCTGCAGCGCGGGTGCCGGCGCGGGGGCGGCGGGGGCATGCGGCGGCCGCGCCGCAGCTGCCCAGCCGCCGCTGCTGCCGCCGTTTGCCCCGGGGGCCGCTGCGGCCGGCGCCTGGGCAGGCGGCGGCGCCTTCCGTTGGGGCTTCTGCGGCTGCGGCTGCGGCTGCTGCGGCGGTGCCTGCTGTGCCTGCTGCTGCCTCCACCGATTGCTGGCATCGTCCGGGCCGGGGCGCAGCTGGCCGCAGGCCTCGCACACGCGGGCCGAGGGGGCGTTGGCCAGCGTGCATGCGCCGCACTGCCAGCTGGCGTTTCGCTCCGCCAGGCTGGCGGCCACCGCCGCCGCCTCGGGAGGCACCCACCTTCCCTTGCCCTGCAGCCAGCGGCAGCGGGCGGCAGGCTGGGTGCACGCACACAGCCAGACGCAAGCCGGAGGCAGTCCGCCACGCACAGCCACAACGCAGGCGCTGCCTGCCAGCCGCCCCAGCGTAATCCCGCATCATTGCACAGTTTAATTACTAGCAAAGCATGCACAGCACGCACCTTGGACTTTCCATCTGGAGCAAAGGCATCGCGGTGCACGGCCAGCAGCTCTGTCCGCTTGGCGGCGTCGGGACAGGTGGCGGCGAGGTCGGGGATGACGCTGCGGGCAGGCAGGCGGCGGGCAGGCGGGCGGGCGGGTGGGGCAGGTAGAGGTGCCATGGGCGGGCGGGCCGGTGGGCGGGTCAAGCAGACAAGCGTGGGCAGGCAGGCAGGCAGACCATCAGGTGTCGTTGCATGCCGGCACGGCACAGCAGGCAGGGCAGCAAACCAATGCAGGCAGGCGGCATGGGCGGTACGGCCAGTACCTGACCAGCCCCAGCTCCGCCACGGCTTCATGGTACTGCTGAGAGCTGGTCTGGCCCCGCACCCAGCTGGCGGACTGCTGCCTGCAGGGAGACAGGGCAGGTAGGCGGAGCAGGGGAACAGTCAAGGGATGAGGCAGGCAGGCAGGCAGGCAGGCAGGCAGGCAGGCAGGAAGGTGCGCGCGCCCGCTCGCCGGGCTGGCAGGCTGCGGGTGCAGGCCGGCCGCACGGCGGCGCTGCCTGCTGCCCCTCCACTGGCGCCGGCCCCCCCTGCGGGCGCGCCGCCGCAAACACACGCAGCCGCACACCTGAACTGGGCAAACTGGGAGGCATCCAGCTGGCTACGGATCTTGTCTATCAGCAGCTTGTTGGCGGCACGCAGCGCCTCTGAGATGCCGGCAGGCCCGGCCCCGGCTGCCGCGGGCGCGGCAGCAGCGGCGGTGGACGCTGGCGCGGCGGCGGGAGCAGGGGCTGGCGGGGGCGCGGCCGCTGGTGCGGGGCCCGCCTGCTGCTGCTGCTGCTGCTGCTGCTGCTGCTGCTGCTGGCGCTTGGCCTGCCGCGCCTTGAGCCGCTCCAGCTGCGGCTGCCGCTCTGGCGGGGCCTCCAGCGGTCCCGCAATCTCTTGGGCAGAGGGAGGGCGGGGCAGGCCGCCGTCGCCGCCGTCGCTGCTGCCGCCGCCGCCGCCGCGCCGGCGGCTGGCCCGCGGCAGGATCGACTCCCAATCGTCTCGCTGCAGCTGCACAAAGCCGGCGGCACTGGAGGGCCGAGAGCCGGCCGCGCCGCTGCTGCCTCCCTCATCCTCTGATGCCGCCGCAGACGCCGCCGCAGATGCCGCCGCAGAGCCCGGCGCAGAGCGCTGCTGCTGCTGCTGCTGGGGCCCCGGCCCCAGCGCTGGGAAGTGGTCCGAAGAGGGCGGCAGCGGCGGGCGGCCGCCGGAGGCGTGGAGCACGCGCACCGCGCCGCCGCCGCCGCCGCCGCCGCCGCCCACCACCGCCGCAAGGCTCTTCTTCTTGGCGGCTCGACGCTTGGCTGACTTGCTGGCGCCTGCGGGAGGGAGAGGAGCCGCGGCGTGGCAGCGTGTGGGTGATGTGTGGGTGACGTGTGGCGCAGGTGGCAGTGCTTGGTCTGAATCCAGGCAGCGGCAGGCAGCGGCAGCAGCAGCAGCAGCAGGAGGGAGGCGGTCCCGGGCTGCTGCCGCCGCTGCCTGCTGCTGCTGCTGCTCCTTGAATAAAATTTAGAAAACGATAGAAAACCAATAAGATCCTGAAAACAACGGCCTACCTGGCAGCGCGGGGAAGTCGTCGGCGCTGAGGCTGCCGCCGGCGCCGCCGCCGGCGGCGCCCGCCCAGCGCGGCGCGCCGCCCGCCGCCGCCGAGCCGCTGCCGCCGCCGCCGACTGTCGGGAAGTCTGCTTCGCTCAGCGAGGGGCCCTGCCCCTGCTGCTGGCCGCCGGCTGCGGCGCCTGGCTGCGCCTGGGAGGCGCGTACCGCGCTTTCCACCTGCGCGCTTTCCACGCTGGCTGCCAGCGCCTCCTGCAGGTTGCCCCGGCTGCCGCCCTGGCTGCGGCCCTGCAGCTGGGACGGCACGCTGGCCGCACCGCCAATCACTACCGCGCGCCGGTCGCCCCCCAGCACCGCTGCCAGCGGGTGGGGAGCCTCAGCGGGCAACGAGCTGCCAGATGCGCCGCCGCCGCCGCCGCGGCTGCGGCCGCCCCCGCCGCCGCCGCCGCGCCCGCCGCGCTCTCCCTCCGCCTCGTCCCGCCGGTACTGCAGAAACCAGAATAGGGGAGGAGGCGGTGCAGGGCAGCTGCTGGCATTGGTGTGGCAGCGGCCGGCACGGTGGGTGGCAGCACATGGCACATAGCACACCGCGGGGTGCGCAGGTAGCATCCCCGGCTGTGGCGGCACGCCAGGGCCAGGAGAAAGTGCGGCTGCAGTGCAAACGGTACAAGGAGCGGTACGGTACCGCCCTCCCACCTGGAAGTTCATCTGCAGCGTCAGCGCCGCCTTCTTCTCAAGCTTGCTCAGCGTCTCGCCGTGCTCCCTGCATGGCACGGCGGCGCAGCGGCGGGCCGGCCCAACAATCAGCGGCGCAGCAGCGGGCCCGCGGCGCGGGTCACCCCGCACGGCGCAGGCTGGCGCATGCCGCTGTCCCAGCACCAGCAAGCACCAGGCAGCAGGCAGCAGTGGGCGCCGGGGACAGGCATCCACGCAGCCGAGCCACGCACACAGTCCATGCTGCCGCCTGGGCCTCACCTCGCAGTGTGTGTCTTGAGCTGCTGCTCGCTGGGGAACACAATAAACTTTTTTTCCAGGCAGGCGGGGTGCGGGCACAGGAAGTGGTCCCGCTCAAAGTGGTCTGCGGCGAGCGGGCCAGCGCGGGGAGCGGTACCGGTGGGCAGGCAGGCGGCCAGCAGCAGCAGCACACACATGCAGGGGCGGGGAGGGGACTTCAACAGCAGCGCAAAACAGCAGCACAAGCAGCGCACAGAGCCGTAGTGCGGCAGAGGGAGGGGTAAGCGCGGCCGCCGCCACGGCCCCACGGCCCAGCCGGCCGCGGTGCCTTGGCCCACCCCATTAGGCCCCACCCCACTCACTCTCCCCACTCACTCTCCAGGTCGGCATAGTCCCGGTAGTAGACGAATTTGTGGGGGTTGGCGCGCCTGCATGGGTGGAGACAGCGGAACAGTGGCATCAGGCGGCGGGAGGCGTCGGTTGACACGCCGGGGAGCGGGGGGGAGGAGTGGGCAGCAGGGGGGGCACAGCAGACGGAAGGCAAGTGGAGTGAAGTCCACACATGCGGTTGTTTGGCTGACGGGAGAAGCGAGGTGCCCGCAGCCTGCCCCCCTACCTCCTTCCCAAAACCACCACCACCACCCCGCCCACCTGCACAGGAAGCAGTTCTCGTGGTCGGCATGCATGTGCTGGTACAGCTCATTCTCCCCGTAGAACCGCTTGCGGCAGAACCTGCACGGTACCGCAAACACACAGCGGCACGGCAGTGACGCGCGCGGGTGCGCCCGGTGGCTCCGGCGGGTGGGCCTGCTGATGCGGCTGGCGGCGCAGGGCACGCGGGCCGGTGGGAGCTGCCGGGCATGCATGCACAGCTGCAGACGGGCCGGGCAGGCAGTACCGGCGCTCCGCCCAGCCCAACCCAGCCCAGCCCGTCAGCTCGCCTGCACTCGGGGTGCCCTTTGAAGCCTGCCGCAGCCATGGGCCCCTCCACGTCCCCGCCCCGCATGTGACGCTCCAGCTCAGCCTTGCCATACACCTGCTGCTCTGCCACAAATACCTGCGGGCGTGTGGGGTGGTGGTGGTGGTGGTGGTGGTGTGTGTGTGTGTGCACTCGTGCGTGTGTGCAGTGACAAGGCAGCCGGCTACAGCGGGGCTGTGGGGAGCAGGTGCGATAAGGGCTCGGGAGTGGCCAGGCAGGAGGGTCATCTGAGGCTGCAGCAATCACGCCAGGCCCCTTGCCGGCGGCAGGCCGCAGATATAGCCCTGCGCCGCACCTTGCGCCCCTCCAGGCAGATGTCGCAGAACTGGAGGCGGTGCTGCTGCTGCAGGTGGGTCTGGAGGGCCTTGAGGGAGGGGAAGGGCTTGGGCGGCGCGCCTGCGGGCAGCCGGGGAGAGGGGAGGGGAGCAGGCACGTCAGCCGCCGAGCGTGCGCCATCACACACACCATGCACCCCGCGCTGCCCGGCCCGGGTCCCTCCTCCGCCATGTGACCCTCACCCTCGCCCTCCTGCAGCGCCCGCGGGTGGGTGTACGAGCACAGGCCGGCGATCTCTCGGAAGTGGGCGGCATCATCGAAGTAGGCCTGGGCGGAGGCGAGGTGCTGCAGCTCGCCGCGCTTGGCACGGCCCTGCGCAGCGGGGGAAGAGGAGGAGAGGGAGAAGGGACGGGGTGGCCGCTGTTGGCAGAGGGCCCAGTGGCGGTCTGGACACAAGGCGCACCGCCCCGCCAAAGGCAGGCTTACAGCGCGCATGCTGAGCACCGGCTCGATGCTGTGGCGCAGCGGCCGGCGGCGGCCCGCAGTGCCTGAAGCAGCGCTCGCACAGCGCTCACCGGCAGCGCGGCAAACTCGTCGGGCGGTACGGTTTCTGTGTACTCCCCCATGAAGCGGGTGACAAACACAGAGTCCGCGGGCACCTGCAGGCAAAGCAGCAGCAGCGGCAGCGGCACGAGATGGGGGCGGCGGGGCGAGGCGCACAGGCGTAGCAGGGAAGGAGGGAAGTGGGAGGAGGCCTTCCGCTGGCGGGCCTGGGATACCCCCGCCCCCGCCCTGTGCGGCGCTCGGCCCTCGTGGGCCTCGCAGCCCTCGCTGCGGGGCTGCGGGGCCGAGCTTCTTGGCACAAAGAGCCCTGAAGATGGGCCCCGCGGCGTACGGTACGGCAGCAGCACCCACCTGGCAGTACACGCAGCGCGGGTCTTTGAGGACCGACCGCAGGCGGGCCACGCACTTGGAGCAGGCATCCTTGTGCCCGCAGGCAGCGTACGCCGCGTACTGCAGCGGCTCTGCGCACACAATGCAGATGTCTTCCATTGTGGCCGGCGCCGCTGGTGCTGGCCTGTGCGGCCGGGATTTGGGAGCCCAGGCCGGGTGCCGCCTGCCAAGGTGCAGGCGGTGGGACTAAGTCGCGCCGCGGTGCTGCCCGCCGCTGCGGCTGCACGCGGCCGATGGGGCCCTTGCCTGCTGCCGCACTGCAGCAGAAAGGCCACAGCGTCCTGGGCGTCAGAGCGGGTTGGAGGCTGCAAAAGAACTGGCGGCCACGTCCCCGCCGCCAGCGGCAGGCCGGTGGGCTCGCGGCCAGCGGCGGCGGCATCCACGCCGCGGCTCCCCATGGATCGCAGTGCCCCAGCGCAGCCAGGCACAGACAGTTGGCTGGAAGCGGAACTGCCCAGAAGACACACAGCATGCCTGCGCGAGGACAGCCGCGCTCACTCACCTTGTGCCCGAGGGCTAGCTCAACGAGAATGCAGCAAACGAAGCGATGGGCGAGCTGGGCATGTGATTGCGGGACCTCGCAGCCCACTCTGCCGCCAACGCTTGTGCTGAAGCCCAGCCAAGCTAGGATTGACAAGCTCAGCACTGAGCGGATCACGGACCGCTGTTCGCCAGCCTGCTGTGCTGTGCTGCTTGCTTGGCGGCGGTCACTTGCGGGCCACGTTGCAAGGCTGCCTCTTCTCTTAGAGATAGATAGCAACCAGAGTTACACCGCAGCAGCCTGCCAAAAAAGTTCGCAAAGGCCTCCAACCATCAAGGTTGCAGACACAGCTCCACAGCATGCGCAATCCTGGGAGCGCACGGCACTTGCGAGCGGCGAGTTGGGCGTCGCCCATCAAGGACGCTGGCTGCCCGCTCGGCAGCCACAGCAGGCCAGCCCATGGGCCAGTCCAGCCCTCTAGATCGTGTAGCCGTTGTTGTCCTGCTCCAGAATGGACCGAAAGGGCGCCCACTTGTGCGTCTTGTTGTGCGTCGGCGCCGTCTCCATCGCCTGCGCCAGCTCACAGCCCAACGCACGGCACAATGCACGTCACAGGCCGGCGCAGGGGTCTGGCGGCGCTGACTACCGGCAGGCAGCGCAGACGTGAATTGAGCTGGCTTGCAGCACGGCCCCAGGGGGACATGGGTGGGCTGGTGGGCCTGCCGCTGCACCGCCCTTCCCCAGCCGTGCCAGCGCTCCCCAGCCCTCCCCAAAGCCAGCACCCACCTCAAGGGCCTCCTCCTTGGTGGCCACAGCATACTTGCCCTCCTGCAGCTTCACGCTGCCGCCCGGCAGGTGCGAGCGCCGCGAGTCCCGCACTGCAGGCCAGTGCCGGGGGCGCGCGTGTGCGCTCGTGTGGAGCATCGAACTAGCAGCCAGCAGCCAGCAGCTGCTCACAAGTGACAACAAGATCCCAAGCAGCAAACAGCAGCATTGTCGCCGCCGGTGCAAGAAGCGGTACAGCTAGCAGTACATGCAGCAGTACACACCGTAGTACTTGATGTCGTACACCAGGTGGTCCTCCGACTGCGGCACCGAGGCACGGATGGGGTACGACCTGCACAGCTGGATGGGCAGCAGGACCGTGGTGACAAGAGAGAGGAGACAGCGGGAGGCGCCGATGAGCGGCAGCACAGACAGGAGCAGCAGCATGTACTTGGCAGCAGCCGTGGAGCGGCATGCCCGATCGTGGCAGCAAGAGAACAACAAAGCGCAGGTCAACCAGGCGGCAGCAGCAAGGCAGGGAGAGAGCAGGCGTGGGCCACACGGCGGGCAGTCGTTGGCGGCAGCACACACGCTGGCGAGATGGCGCGGTAGTTGGTGGCGCGGGGCAGGTGGTTGAGGTACTCTGGGCTAGACACGGGGCCCGTGTACTGCATGCGGCAACCATGGGGGCGCAAGCTATCTAGCACAGCAGGGTGCAAAAGCTAGAGCGAGCCACGAGAAAACACGAGGCGAGGTAACCAGCTACCATTCCTGCATCCCTGCCCTTCGAGGGTGGATCATGCGCCTTGCTGGAAGGGAGCTGACCAGTGCGCTGCCGCAGCAGCAACAAGCGAAGGGCGGCCGATGACGGAAGTCGGCCGGCGCTCCCGCAGCGAGCTCCAGGCGCCGCGGCGCGGCCTGGCGCTCGTACTCCCGGCACCCACCTTCCACGGAGCCTTGATGCCGACCTTGGCCAGCGCCTCCCCCACCTTCGCCAGCGCACCCCCCTTCGACATGGTGGCCCACAGCCGCCCTCGGCCAGGCAGGGCCTCCCCGGCTGCTTGATCGACTGCCACCTGTGCCCTCGGCCAACGGGCGAGCCTTGGGTTGCTTGTGGGTGGGCGAGGCCGAAGTGAGGGTCTGCCACGGAGCCCAGCAGCTCACAGCTCCGGCCAACTGGACACAGCTCCGACCAACGATCAACACGCGACGCAAAGACAACGCCAGCGCCCTGCTCAGCATGCTGCAGTTTTCCTCCCGTTTGTTCCGCTTCATTCCGGCCTGATCGCAGCTGCTGCACTTTCAGCTTGATCGCACAAGTGCACCGCAGCGACTAGAGGCTGGCAGGAGCAGAGGAGGAGAGCAGGGGCTCAAGTGCTGCAGGCAGCGGGAAATGGTGAGGCGTTTGCGTGGCTGTCGCCTGCGGGCCAGCCTTCTGGACCCTCCGGGCCACTCGCAGGCCGCTGCCGCCGCTGCGTGCGATCGCCACACCAAATCTAGGCCCCTCAGCTGCGTGGAGCCTCCTTGCTGGCCACACAAGCTGCGCAGTTGAAAGGGGATCAGCATATTTCAGCCGCAACGCAGCTTTCGTGCTGTGGCGGCAGCTTGCCGACCGGGCGGCGGCAACCGCGCTGTTGCCGCCGCCGGCGTCGCTCCGTGCCCGCCCCCCGCAGCAAAGCGTGCAGATGAGCGCAGGCTTGACCCCGAGCCTGCAATCTGGGCACGGCTGCTGCCTGCTGCAGGGGCTGTGGTTCTCCCGCCTGCTGAGCCTGTTTGGCGACAAAGAGGCACGGATCCTTGTGCTGGGCCTGGACAATGCCGGCAAGACCACCATCCTGTGTGAGTTGCCTAGCAAACCGCTGGGGCTGGCGTAACTGGCGTGGACCCCGCAGCTGGGAGCAGGTATCCTACAGCATCGTTCATTGGCAAGGGTGTGGCGGCTGGGCTGACAATGGGCCCTGCTGTGCCGCGCCGCTTGCCTGCCTGCGTGCAGACCGGCTACACGTGGGCGAGGTGGTGCAGACCATACCAAGTGAGCCTGCTGCTGGTGGCGCTGCTGCCTCTTGGGCCGTTGGCTGGACTGCAAGCCTGCGCCTGTTCCCCCCATCCCCACATGGCTGCTGTACCTGCTGGCTGCCTTGCTGAGCACTGCTGGCTGGCCGAGGCTCACCATAACCGTCTCCCCGCGTCTGCTGAAGCCATCGGGTTCAATGTGGAGACTGTGACCTACAAGAACATCAAGTTCCAGGTGTGGGACCTGGGAGGCCAGACCAGCATCCGGCCCTACTGGCGCTGTTACTACCCGTGAGTCGCCTGCCGCCGGCTGCTGCTGGAGGGAGCGAGGGAGCGGAAGCCGCCAGCCTCGCTGCGCCCGCATGCGCCGCTCCTCTGCGAGCTTTGGCTCGGCCTGTCGGCAGGACCGCGCTCTGGCCGGCCGCTGCCTGCCGCGGCTGCCCGCTGCCCTTGCGCCACGCCGCCATCCGCGAGCTGCGGCCCGTGCCCGCCCACCTCCCCCGGCCTCCTCCTGGCCCTGCGTGGCGCCTTCCCTTCTGCCTCCTTGCCCACCTCCCTTACGTCTTCCTGCCCCTGCGTGACGCCTTTCCTGTCCGCCCTGCAGCAACACCCAGGCCATCATTTATGTGGTGGACAGCTGCGACGTGGACCGGCTGCCCACCAGCCGCGAGGAGTTTGCGGCGATACTGGAGGAGGAGGAGCTGCGGGATGCCGCAATCCTGGTGTATGCCAACAAGCAGGTGGGCTGGGCTGGGGGCGGGCCGTTGTGTTGAAGGGGTGGTGCTGCGGGGAGGGTGAACCCGGGGTTGGATGTGTGTGTGAGGAAAGCAGCGGGTGGGACCGGGCGGGGCGGGCTTGATGGGGCGGCTGGTGGTGCGGGGAGGGATGCAGGTTGGTGGCGATGCAGGGGATGGGACGGGGGGTCGGAGGCCGGCGGAGCGATGCTGGGAGATCGGCTGCGGCGGTTCAGAGGGCGTGCCGGCTGGGGCAGGGATGGAGCCGTTCCTGTCTGCGGCACGACGGCTGACTGCGCTGCCGCCGTCTTGTTGCGCTGCAGGACCTGCCGGGCGCGCTGAGCGATGCGCAGGTGGCGGAGGGGCTGGGCCTGACTAGCATCAAGAGCCGGGACTGGTCGATCTTTAAGACGTCAGGCACGTGGCTTAAGAAAGAAACCCGGGGGATGGTTTCACCTGAGGGATGGGGCTCGGCGCTCCGCCATCGTCATCATCTTGTCTTATCAGCGCCCTCGCCTCCCCTTTGGCTGTGTTGCGCTGCAGCGATCAAGGGTGAAGGGTTGTTTGAGGGGCTTGACTGGCTGTCGAACACGTTGAAGACCAAGCGGCGGTGAGCACACCCCGAATCGACGACTGGCTCGTTTTCTCCGCTTATTTTCACAGCTTCCTTTGTGTTCTGACCATTTGACTGCTTCCTTTGATTGCTGTGGCGTCAGAACTGCCTGCCCCGCCATGTAAACTGGTCCAACTGACGTCCCGGAAGTCCATGCCTCAAACATTCGCTGTTAGAATTGGTAAGCGGCACACGTGAGGAATGGCAATGCAGTGCTGGAAGTGTGTGATGTCCATGATGGGTGGGGGGCTGTCTTGCCCGCGTGCAGCGAGAGGGCGGGCTACCTGCCTCAGGCTGAGGATCACGGGTCTGCATGCGCGGAGGGTTCATTAGCTGTCATTATATAAAGTTTGAGCTGCTGCTGCTGCTGGGCTCTCAATCGCTCGATGGGCTGCTGGGAGGTGTCTCGGCTCGGTCAGGGGACGCTGCTGGGCGGCGTAGTGAAGCGGTAGGTGGGGCTGCCAGGCCCCTCGCCCAACGCGTTTCGAGCAAAGGCTGTGATGTTGTAGGCGGTGCCTAGCGAGAGCCCAGTGCCGAAGCCAGGCTGGAATAGGAACATGAGCTGCAGGGAACAAAGGTGGCAGCCGGGAACGGGCCCGGGGTATGGCAGGCTGTCGGGAGTGCATGGGAGAGGAGCCTGCACCGTGCCGCCGCCATGACCACACCAGCACCAGGCGGCACAGCTGGCTCTGCATCTGGTGAGGTCTGCCACCACAGCCCCACCTGGGCAGAAGACACCGCCAGCCCTGCTCCGGTCACGTTCCTGCTGACCGCTGTGCTGCCGGCAGCTGTGGGCTGGGCCAGGATGCGGTGCATGGATATCGGTAGGCCCCCGCTGCTCCCCATTGTGACGGTGACAAGCACGTCGCCAGAGATCGGATGGACTGACACAAAAAAGACAGTCGGGGCGCTGGGTCGGCTGCAGCGGCGGCAGGGGCATGCATGCGTCGGGCGTTTGAGGGCAGGCGGGGCCAGCAACTGCACCAGCCCACCCGCAGGCGAGGTGAGAGTCCCTCGCGTGGGGGCTTGCCTGGGAGTGGTGTAGTTCCTGACTGCACTGACTGGGCTCAGGCCCGCACTGTTGTTGGCCCTGGCGGTGAAGGAGTACTTGGTGCCGGGTGCGTACAGGGCGGGACCAAACTTCACATTGTACTGCAGGCCAGTACCACAGCGGCGCAGCCCTGCCGTCAATGGATGCATGCACCAGATGAGGCGGGTGGTGGTGGTGGGCAGAGCAAGCCAGGGCCAAGCTGCGGCTGCAGGGCGTCTCATCAGCGGGTTTGAGGCATGCCGGAACCCAGCAGGCAAAGCAGGGTTGAGGTTCTTTGCAGTGAACGGCGCGATGGTGGGGGCGTCTGGGAGCCTGCGCCAGACGATACAGAGAGCGGCAGCTTGGGCCATCGGAGGGTGGCGGCGGCCGGTGGAGCGACGTGCATGCAACGGTCTCCCGACTGGCAGGCACTGGAACGCTGCCTGCAGCCTCCGGCAGACGGGCATGCATGCATGCGTGCGTGCATCCAACAGCAGCCCGCGAAAAGGAGGCAGAGGCGCAGCAGCACGCATCCCACCGGATGGGGGTTGTGAGGGAGACGTTTGCGCTCCAGGGGCCGGAGCCCGCCCCGTTGATGGCCTGGGCGGCAAAGTTGTATGTGGCGCCAGGCGGGAAGGCGGACAACAGTGCGGAGAGCTGGCGCTGCGCGGCACAAGGCGAGGCGTTGCATCCAATGCAGCTCAGGCTGACTGGGCGCGTGGCAGGGCCTGGCAGCCAGGCTGGGCGGCGCTGGCACATCCGGGCAGCAAGTTGGGAGGATTAGGGCAGGCGCCTAGCAGTCGCACCTCGCCGTTCCCCGCATCCGTGCCCATGTCGGCGCTTCCGCCGAGCGGGACCATGGGCCCCGCGCCTGCTGCCCGCACTGCCTGGACGAGGAAGCCTGTGAGGCCTCCGCCCGTCTGGGTGGGCGGGGTGAGGCGCACCAGCACGCGGCGGGGGTCTGTAGTGGAAAGAAAGAAAGAAAGAAAGAAAGAAAGAAAGAAAGAAAGAAAGAAAGAAAGAAAGAAAGAAAGAAAGAAAGAAAGAAAGAAAGAAAGAAAGAAAGAAAGAAAGAAAGAAAGGGCTCACATCATGGGTGTGGTCAGCGGGAAGACGGCGCTGGGCTGGCTGGCCCCAACGGAGGTGTAGGTGGTGGCATAGAGCCTGTACAGCCCGGCTGGCCGCATGCCCACGAACGTGCGGGTGAACAGCGTCACCTGCATCGAAGGGCGGCCGGGGTACTGACGACGAGTCGCCACGCCTGCTTGTGTGGTGCCCTGCCGCCCCCCAACGCCACCCAGCCACCTGCTGGGACCCAGCAGCTGCACTGCCTCACCTGGTTGGTTACGAATATGCCCCGGCTGTCCTTATTGCCCATAGTTATGTTTGGGTCGGAGCCAGCGGGCTGAGGCACGCCTAAGATGCGGTACCCGTTGATGACCGCTCCTCCAGTGGCCACAGGCGGCCTGAGGGCAACCACAACCGACTGGGGGTCGGCTTTTGCCCAAATGATGGTTGGCGGTGAAGGCAGGCTGCAGCGCACGCAGACCAGCAGATGCATGCAGGGTAAAGCAGCGAGCATGGTGTGCACAGCGCACGGGCTGCTGGGGTGGGTGCGGTGAGGGATGTATGCAGTGTGTGGCACGGTGCGCAGCCGCCAGGCTGCCAGCTGGCAGGCGGCCTGGGCTGGCAGCCGGTGCGCCGACCTGAGCGGGGCGTTGAAGGTGGTTGGCGCGCTGGCTGGGCCCTCGCCAGCCATGCCGGTAGCGTATGCGTACAGCCGGTAGGCGCGGCCTGGGGAGTAGGTGCCTGGGGCCAGCCTGGGGTCCTGGCTGGGGCGCAGCTCCACGGTCTGCAGCAGTTGTGTGCACACCGTGGTGGTGGTGGTAACCCTGTGTTACAGTCACCCCGCTATGATAGGCCGCGTGAGCAGACCTTGGGCAGGGGGCACACGTGATCAAGGGGCATCAAGAGAGGGGGTGGACCATGGAGCACCCTCTCCATGGCTCCGACCACCCTCCCCCCAGCTGAGCGTCCCAGGGTCACCCCACCCTGGCCCCGCTCCCCGTCCTGCCGGACACGCAACCCCCACAACGTGGTGGGGGACGTGGGGATCCTTAGCAGCTTAGGGTTTTTAGGGTTAGCGGTTGGTGACAGGGAAACTTTCCTTGAAGGCATGGTTGCTGATGTGCAGCCGCCACGCCTGCCTCTTTGTAATGCTGCTCCCATTCCCCCCAACGCTGCCGGCTGGCCATGCATGGCGCGTGCAGCATCTATGGCAAGCATCCGGCGGGCGAGCCCCCTGCCCCGGCTGGAGAGGCATACCGTGGCCTCGCCGCCATATGCCGCCGTGGCAGTGATGTTGGTGCCGGCGCCCGTGGTCGGCACTCCCAGGAGGCGGTAGCTGGAGATGCCAGCGCTGCCGTTCTTCACCACCACACGCACCACGTCCTCCGCCACAAAGTGGTTGGCGCTGAGGATGGTCGGGTTGGCTGGCCGGCTGTGCAGGTGGGGGAGGGAGGGGAGCGGGCACACGCCGGCGGCTTGCTCAGGGGCAGTCCAGTGGCGACGCAGAGGTGCCCAGCTGCCAGGCGCGCCCGCCCGGCGCCCGGCGTGCGGCTGGTGCAGGGGAGGGGTGCAGGCGCGGGCGTCACGCGGCCAGCCCGCTGCGCGGCACAGGTGTCGGCATTTACTTGCTCCTTAAAGGTGTAACTGACAGACAGCTAGGTGAGCCCACCCTGGCATGGTGAAGACATAGATGTAGCCCGGGAAGCTTCTCAGAATGCACGTGGCTGGGTCAAAGTAGTCCCACAGAGGGTTGCAGTAGTAGGTTTCGACTTGCACCCAGTAGGTGGCTCCAGGCACGAGCCTGGCGCGTGCGTTGGGCAGGAAGGCAGCGCGCACCTGCGGGGAGCACGGCGGGGCGGCGCTTGAGCGGTGCCAGGGGCAAGGATGCCGGCTGCCTGCCTCACCTTGCCGCCGGTCCCGACCTGCTCCGCGCCCAGCGTGCGGTTGCTGCCAATGACCACCTTGGGCAGAGTGTTAGTGTGAGGGACGACGCCGACGATGTGGCCGGTGATATCTGGTGCAAAGGGAAGCAAGGTGCGGGCAGCAGGGGGTCAGAGGCAGGGTGGGTGGGCAGGGATGCGAGCCTGGCAGGACATCCGGCTGCCACTGGGGTCCCTGCCATCGAGTGCTGGTGGGCAGCTGCGGCGGGGCAGCGGGGCAGGGGGCGTGACAGGAGCCGGGGGCACCACTGGCACCGCCCGCCCGCCCACACAGCTCACTCAGGCCGGCGTCCTTGGAAGCATCGAAAACGACCTCCAACACGTTTTCGGGGGTCAGCCTGACGGAAGTGACGTCAGAGGAGGGCACCCTGCAGCCAAGCATGCAGACGGCGACCTCTCATGGGACCCCTGGGTTGGCCCCACGTGCACGTGTGCCAGCTGGAAAGGTCCCCGGCGCCAGGATGCCAGCCCAGCATCAGCATGGAAGGGCCAGCCACCACCGCAAAAAAACAGCTGCCCAGCAAGGGAGCGGGCTGGGCGGGGTGGCGGGCGGCAGGCGACGCGCTGGGGGGAGCGCAATGCGCACCAGCAGGAGGTCAGGTAGCGCAATTGGGAAGCGGGCGCCTCGTCCCCATCCAGGTTGATGGCATATGCATTGATGGTGTACCACTTGCACTCCCGCCAGCCCTCGGGGAATTGAAACTGCGCCGAATGAAGGCAGGGGGGAGCTGCTGATCACCAGCGGCGATTGCGGCAGGCGGCCCCCGGCAGCAGCCGAGCCGGCGGCGTGCTGCGGCGCCGCCAGCTGGCGACAGCTGGCGCGCCCCGCTTCGCCGCTGGCTCCAGCCCGCTCCCGCCGTATCCGGCGAGCTGCGCAGCAGGGGAGATAGCTACAGAGCAGCAGGCGGCACCCCCTCACATGGTATATGTAGTCGCCGTCGCTGCTGTCGTACGCGGGCGGGCCATTCACGGTTGCGGTGAGCGCCTGGCCATCGCCATCCGGCACCAGCACCAGCTTGTAGGCCGCAATGCCTGCACACGCAGGCAGCTTCCAAAGCATCACAGCTGGCCGTGCGCCTGCCCGGCAACCACTGGCGCAGCAGCCAGCACGCGCATTTGCTGCCGCAGCCTGCCCGGCCCTGTCCTGTGGCACTAGCCAGCCCACCTGCTGCGCGGGCAGCCCTCTCTGCCTGGGACAGACCCTGGTCATACAACAGGTGCACACCAATCCTGATGCCATTCTCTCTTGAGCTCTGCACATCAAGGCTGGCAGCTGCGCCCGGCTTCCTGCAGCCAACGCCCACGCCGGAGGCAAAAGGAAGGCCAGGGCTTGGAGGCGCCGCCAACAGGCATGGTGGCAGGCGCCGCCACAGGCGGGGCTGTCGAGTGGGGCGGCGGAGTGGGCGGGGACGGTGCCAGGCGGGATCGCCGCCATGCCGGCATTGGGCGGGCAGCGGCGGTGCGGCTCACGGCGGGGGCGTGGTGAAGGTGAAGGGTGAGCTGGCGGCGCTCTCAAAGGCGGAGTTGGAGGTGTGGGCGGAGAAGGTGTACTGCCGATTGAGCGGTACACCGGCCATGCTCAGCTGCAGCAGCCTCTGCAGGGCGTGCAGGGTGGGGGTGCGGGAGGGAGGGCAGAGCGAGGGCAGCGGTCTGAATGGCGGCGGGCACATGCACGGGAGGCGTGCGCGCCTCCCCGGCTCCGCGCCACTGCAGCGTTCTTTGGCTGCTGCTAGTTTCTCCTGGCTGAGTCCGATAGACAGGCAGCTCTGGCGGCAACCGACCTTGCTGGCGTCCAAGGTCATCCCAAGCTGGCGAGTTCCTCCCAGCGTGAGATTGGCGCCGCCGCCGGAGGGCACACCCACGACGCGGTATCCCAAGATGGCTGCAGGGCAGGGGAAGCGGCTCGAGGGAGGAGGTGCAGGCTGCGCTCAGGGCGACGCCTGCTACCACAGCTGTCGCGCCGCTGCCGCGGCTGCTGCAGTTGTCGCTTGCGCTTGCGGTGTGCTGCTTTTGCATCCCGAGGCAGGCAGGCGGCGGGGCAGCAGTTGCTTGGCGGCGGCGGCAGCAGCACCATGCGGCGGGGCTCACTGTCAGATCCTGTGAAGGCTGGGGGTGTCAGCACCACCAGCAGGTTTAAGTAGTCTGCTGCCACATGAACGACGGTTGGCGGGTCGGGGCGGCTGCATGATGTAGCAGCGCCGCCGCGTCAAAAACGACAGCGCATGCAGCGGGCCCAGGAAGTGGGGCAACTGAGGCTGGAAAGCGGCATGCCTCAAGCCATGGCTCGCACCTGACTGCTCCATGTACGCACAGCCTGGTCTGGCCCTCCAGCCGAGGCTCGGCGAGGCAAGCCTGCACCACAGTGGCACGGCAGCAGACAGAGTCGGCGGCAGGTACCCCGCTGGCACACCGGGAGCGCTGCAGAGGAGCTGGCCTTGGCACCCACCGCCAGGCAGATGGCCGCCAGTGTCAGAGGCCTCATGATTGCAAAGATGGATGCTTTCGAATATGGCTGCGGGGGAAGCCGCAGGGCGAGATGGGAGACGAGTTGAGCGGAGCGCTCGGCGACGGCGGCGGCGGCATTGGCCACGGCAGCACTGCACCCCACGGCTGAGCGGCCGCCACCGTAGGGAGGCGCATGCCGCTCTGCTTCTACGGCTTAGCATCCACCCAAGTGCAGCAGTGCTAAGGCGGACGTCCTCGGCACGGCTAGGCAGCGTCGCCCATCGCGAGAGAGGCGTCCCCCCTTTCCGCACCCCTAGCAGGGTTGTTCTCCTCATCTCACCAGTGTACACTCGGGGATGGGAGCTGGCTGCGCTGCTTGGGGGGAGGTGGCACGAGTGAAGTAGTTGCTGGACGGGGTTTCAGGGCAGCTATAGTCTTCGATGGAATGGTGAAGTCTCGGCAAATCATCAATAGTTGTAACTGAAGGCGCATGCGCATGGACGGGCCCGCTGTCGGTATCCAGGACACTTTGATGACAAGAGGGCGCGGGCGCCGAAAGTGAGAGGACGGCCTCATGTTCTGTGCAGCAGTGCTCAGAACTCGATAATAACGCTCAGGATGCCGATCAGGTGGCTTCCCAGCGTTAACACAGCATGGGCATGCCCACTGCTCCAGCAGATGCGCCCCGCCACCGTCCGCCAGCTACCGCGAAGGCTGCCGGCCGGCGGCGTGGCGGCGTCAAGCCGACGCCTGCGCCGGTGCTGCTACAGCTGCTGACCTGGTCGCATCCCACCGCCTTCATGCCCACTTCCGATGGATTGGCTTCTGCAAGAGAGCAATAGAGACTGCAGAGACCAGCAGGTAACCGGAGTGGGAGGTCCCGACAGCAGTGCCCGGCCTAGGCCGAAGAGTTGCGCAGCAGGTTGTTGATGTGAAGTGACCGCAGCAGGGAGCCAAGACGCCTCATCCCTCCAAAGGGTAGCCTGTACTAAGTAGTACTTGGAGGTAGCCAGGCCACCTCCGCGTGATGCCACCACCACCGCCGCCCTACGGCCAGCTGCACCGTGGAGGCCTCTGCGCTCCCTGCTGCCCCATCGACCCCCTCACTGCGCCATGCACTCCTGCGGCGCCGTTGCTCGGCTTTCTCTTTCAAATCAAAACCAGCTGACTGGACGCGAATGCGGAAGCCGCCAGCTTGCGGGCCCCGGCTCCATCGGCCCCGCCGCATTGGCCTCGTTCCTGTGATCACTCTGTTTGTCCGTTAGCTGCACCGGGCACTGCCAGGCGAGGCCTCCTTCTCCTCCGCAATGTCGGGCAGCGCCGCCAGCGAGGAGGAGGAGTATGTGGATGCGCTGGGTGTGATCACAGCCCTGGAACGGACCTGCGAGCTGGAGGCCAAGCTGCGGCAGGCCATTCAAGACACGCACCCGCTCACCACCACTCTGGATTGGGACTTCAACGCCGCGGATCGGGAGCGCGAGGCGCTGCTGGCGATCAGGCGCGCGGGGAGGGGTGGATGGGGCAGCCTCGCGGCGGCTGCGTTTGAGGCGGGTGGGGTGCTGCGCCGCACGACGCTGGCGGCGCCTGGGTGACAGCCGCGGTGCGCAGGGGGCTTGGCCTGGCGCCGCTGCTCCTGCGGTGCTTCCGGGCAGCCCGCAGGCGGCACGCCACCCCTCAGCCACCTGCCGCGCTCCTCCCCACGATCCTGCGGCTGCCCGCCGCTCAGCCTGTCGCGGCCTGTCTCCTGCCTCACTGCCTGTCGTCGGCTGCTCGTCTCCCTCCTGGGTTGCAGCGAGCAGCTGGAATATCTGGAGGACAAGCTGCGGGAGTATCGCTTCCTGGAACCAGCAGAGCTGGAAAACAAGGTGCGCCGCGGCCGCCGCAGAGCTGCAGGCAGGCAGGCAGCATCCGCCCCCTCACGCGCCCGTGGCGCGCAGCCCGCTCCGGCCGGCCGGCGGGCCCTGCCCTGCCGCTCCCCGGCCGCCCCCTGGTGCCGCTCCCCTCGCCTGCCCGCCCTTTGCCGCTGCGCACTGCACCCACGCAGCGCCTCTCGCCGCTGCATCCACTCCGTGCCACTCCCCACCCTCCCTCCCTCTCCCACCCTCCCCTTCCTCTCCCACCCGCCCCGCCCCATCAGGCTGTGCTGCTGGGCCAGCTGGACTCTGTGCGGCGGGAGCTTGTGGAGGTGGTGGAGCGCTTTGTGCCGCACGTGCTGTTTGGGAAGGAGGTGGTGCGGGAGGTCATGGCCTTTGCGCAGGTGCGGTGCAGCGCCCGCCTGTGTGTATGGATACCACACCACTTGAGTGGCCGGGCTGCTGCTCCGCGGCTGGGGTGCCTCCCCAGGGAGGCTGGGGTGCTTTGGAGGAGCAGGCGCTCGGCTGGCTGCGCTTGTCCTGGGTTCTGATTGGGGACCCCTATAACCTGGGTGGTCCATGGCGGGATGGCCGGCTGCTGGGGGTATTCAGCGCCCCAGCCCCGGGCCCCAGCCTGACGCTCCGGGCTGCGCTGGCGGGCTGGCGGGCTGCCTCTGCAGGTCTCGGATGACAGCAGCGGGGAGGAGGTGGAGGAGGGCAGCGAGGAGGAGCTGCTGGGCGGCGGCAGCGGCGGCCTGCACAGCCTGCACAGCCGCGGCGCCAGCGGCAGCCAGGGCGGCTTCGCCTCGGAGTTTGAGACAGACCATGATGAGCTGGCGGGGCGTGCCCAGCATGCGCAGCGTGCCCAGCGTGGCGACGCCTACGACGCAGAGCAGGACCCAGCGCTGATCCCGGCAGTGCGGCGCTCCGGCGCGCAGCACCGCCCGCCGCGATACCCCACGCACGCCCACGGCAAGGAGGCGGCGGGCGGCGGCGGCAGGCAGCCGGGCGCCTCCCCCAAGAGGTACGTGGCGCCGCGGCTGCCGCCGTCTGCCGCGGCGCCGTTGTGTGCAGCGAGCGTGGCAGCAGGAGGGGGCGCGGGCGCGGGTGGGGTGGGGTGGGGTGCGGCATGTATGCAGCGCCGTATTGCAGCTGCTGTGCCCGTGCATCACATCATAACGTGCCTGTGGTGTTGGTCCCAACTCCCCACGCACCACACGCCTGATCTTCTACTCATGTCATGTCTTGCTCCGACAGCATCGATCGGCGGTACGCCTGCCTATGCCTGAACCTGGCGCGCCCCCCTGCCGACCCCGCCTGCCGCGCTTTCTTCCCCGCGCCCGCAGGCCCTCCTCCCACCAGCCCGCCGCCTCCACCTCCCCCACCTCCCTGCACCAGCAGCACCAGCAGCAGCTGGCCTACCTGCAGCAGCAGCAGTCGCCCACGCGCTCCGCCTTCCTGCAGCACCAGCACCGCGAGCTGAGCAGCGAGCAGCAGGCCCGGTGCGGCCCCGGGGGCCACCCCTTGGGCGCCAAGGCGGTGCCGGGCGCCGCCTCCAACCGCACCAGCCCCGGCTCTGCCGCAGCAGCAGCCGCCGCTGCGGTCGTGGGTACGGGCGGGCAGGCGCGGCGCGGCGCGGAGGCGGAGGCCGCGCCCCGGCCCCAGCCCGGCAGCCGCAGCGGCAGCAGCGCGGGCAACACAGACAGCTACAGCTTCTCTGCCCAGCCGGCGGGCCCAGCACCAGCCCACCCTGTGGCTCCCCCATCCTCCTATGCACCTTCCGACGGCGCCCCGAGCAGCCGCCAGTCGCCTCACTCCGCCCGTACCGCCAGCGGCACCGCCCCGCCCGCCGCCGCCGCGCCGCCTCCCGCCGCGGCCGCCGGGGGCAGCCGCCCCACCGGCAGCCGCCCCAACGGGAGCCGCACCTTCCTGCTCAGCAAGCTGAACAGGGCGCAGGGCAGGTACGGCGACAGCGCCGGCAGCGCTCGCTTCGGCGCCTACACGCGCGTCAGGTGCGGCTGCTTTTGGGAGGGGCTGGCGGCGGCTGGCGTGCTGCGCGCGTGCCCAGCACGCCATCAGGCAGCCGCCGCCGCGGCCTGCCTGGCCGCCTCCCCAGCTGCCCCCAGCTTCCCCCGCTCCTCTCCCTCTTCCTGGTGCCCACTCCCGCACCACACCCTCCCCAGCAGCCCCGCACCCTCCTTCCCAGCGTGGCCCGCCCCTGCCCCTGAAAGAAAGAACAAGGAAAGAACAAACAAAGGAAGAAAGAACTGCCCCTGCCCCTCCCCACAGCGATGAGGACATCTACGGCGCACTGGAGGAGCGCGGCCACGTGCGCCCCGCCTCCATCACCAACCCCTCGCCCCGCCAGGCGCGCCGGCGCCGCCGCCGCTGCTGGTGCTGCTGCTACGCAGCCTCGGGCCCCCGCCGCCACGCACGGAGGCACGCCGCTGCTCAGCGGCAGCACGCCGCCGCCGCCATGCCCTGCCAGCCGGTGGGCCAGCGTGCTGACCAAACCATATCGGCTGGCTGAAGGTAGTACCCGTCCTGCCGCCCCCATTTCGCACCGCTGCAGTACGGCGGCTTTGTCAAGATCGCCGACAGGCTGAGCCAGGGCGAGGAGGCGGCTGCCCCGGTAAGCCCCCGCGGCAGTTGGTGTGTGCATTGGGCACGGCTGAGCGAAGCCTTGGTCGGCATCCCGCCTGCGCCGCCGGGCTGCAGCCTCCAACGTGTGCACGCCTCAGCGCCGGCTGCCCCTGCCTGCCTGACTGACTGACTGCCTACTGCCTGCCTGCCCCCCTTGCCTGCCCCCGCAGGTGCCCGGCCCCACCTCCCAGCGCTCGCCCATGCCGCCTCGCATCTACGGAGAGAGGTGGGCGCCGCTGCTGCCCGGCTGCATGCCCAGCTGCTGGCCTGCCCAGCTGCTGGCCTGCCTCCTGTTCCCTCGTTTGCTTGCGGCTGCTCTCTCTTCACTACCCTCTTTCTCTCTCTTTCTCTCTCTCGCCCTCCCTTGCCCTGGCGCTCCTCTGACGCAGCAAGTGGCTTTGCTTTTGCCGGGCCGCAAGCTGTGCCAGGCTTTGCCGGGCGTGCTGGGCCCAAGCTGTGCTGGCCCCAAGCTGTGCTGGCCCCAAGCCCAGCAGCCAGCGGAGCGGCCTGGGCCGACCACCACCGACCGCCGCCCCTGGCCCTTTGCCCCGCTTGCTGCAGCCCTGATGGCTGGGAGGCAGGCGCCGAGATCCAGCCTGCTGGCCATGCTGCCTCGCTTTGCCTCGACCCTCCAGCGCTGCCCAGGCCGGATCGCGGCCTCCGGGAGCAGCTGTCAGGTGGGCCGGCTGCCGCGCTGTGCATGCTGTGCATGCTGGGCATGCTGGGCTTGGTGGCTTCATCGCGCCACACCCTACCTGGCCGCCTCCTGCCCGCGGGAAGCACGGTGGGCGTGGTGCCGGGCTTGGGGCGGCCGGGCGGCGCCGGGAGGCGGGAGGCGGCCCTCTGGGTCGCTAGGGAGGGGTTATGTGCTGTGCTGCTACGCATGCCTGTCATGAGGCCTCCATTTTTCGTTTATTATTTTGGTGGAATGACGATTCACCAAGCTGCGCGTGTGCGTGTGTGCCCCGGCTGTGTGCCGCCTGCAGTGCGGTCCACGCCTGTGCGGGTCGTCTCCCCGCCCCGCGAGCGCCTGCACCTGGCCTACAGCAGCGGCGGCGCGGGCGTGGTGGGCCGCCCCGCGCGCGGCAGCCCCCGCGGCGGCGCCGGCGCCGGCGCGGGCCGGCTGGTGGGCCGGCTGACCAACCTGCTGCTGACGGGCGCGGCGGCGGCGGTGGCCGTGGTTGTGGCGCAGCATGCGGGGCCGCTGGTGGTGCAGAAGGGGCAGGAGGTGGCGGGCCAGGTGGGGCGCAAGGTGCAGGAGCAGCGCCAGCAGCTGGCTGTCAGGCGCCAGGCGGGGCAGCAGCGCAGGCGGGAGGCGGCGGCGGCCCGGCAGCGCGAGCAGGCCCCGGCGCTGCCCTGGCAGCAGGGCGGCCGCATGGCGGACCTGCCGCAGCGGCCCAGCGGCGTCCGCATGGCCGACCTTCCCCAGCGCCCCGGCACCGCCGCCGCCCCCGGCCGCATGGCCGACCGCCGCCCGACGGCGCCGCCCCCACGGCAGCAGGCGCCGCAGGCGGGGCCGCCGCGGCAGCAGGGCGCCGCCGACCCGCTTCCGGCCTTCCTGGCGAATGCTGCGGCGGGCGTGCCGGGGGCGCCCCCCGGCCGGCACAGCGCGACGGGCACCGCCGGCGGCGCCCACGGTTCGCGGGCCGGCCCGCGGCAGCCCAGCCAGCTATTTCCGGCCATGCCGCCCCCGGACGTGTCTGCTAGCATGGGCTGAGCCAGGCAGACAGAGAGCCTGGAGGGGGCAGCAGGCGACGCTTTCCTCCTCCACACATGCGATTCGACGACGCTGCATTGGCCCGAGTCATGATAGACAGATAGCACCGTTCGGAACTGGACCCCGCCCCACACTCTAGCTTGCTCGAGGCAGTGCCTTCCCTGCTTCGCATGCGGGGCCTCACCCGTTCTTTGACTTATTGTTCTGACTTGTTCCTCGCTGCTTTGATGGATCGACGTGGCGTGTCGCTGCTCTCCTCCCCGCCTCACACCCTTCTCCTCCTGCTCTTTTGGCGTGCACAGCCGCCTGTCCCTTCATTGGATCCATACTACCGGTCCAGCGCAGCCCTGTTTTCTCCTTCACCTGGCCTGCGTCCCGCCGCCGGGCCGTGGTGGCGGCGGCGCTGTACTCCTGTTGTTTACTGCTTCCTTGTTTGACCGACACTCCCTTGCGCTCCCGCCGATGAGACCTTCATTCACATGTGTAAGAGCTTCGTATTGAGCGTGCCGTGGCTGATTTCAAAACGCGGCAGCAGTGAAGCCAGGTCAAAAATTGGGGCGGCCGCGTAGGCCATTCAGTATCGGACGTGCTGCTACCTGTCGTCCGCCTTGCCTAGCCGACTAAAAGGGCTGATGTTCCCACACGCATCCGCCGATAGCGCCCATCCTGCTGAGCGTGAAACGCGGCTGACGCAAGACTGGGCTCAAACCTGCGGGCACCCGTGGTTTGGCCCCGATCTCTCGTCTGATAAACTCATTCGTCGTTTCGTGAGCTAGGAGGGGTGTGCAAGCTGCCCAGGTCCCAACCCCCAGGGATTCTTCGCTGCGCCGGAGCCCCCATCTCGCCGCAGCGCCCAATGAGGCTGCTGGAGCCTACCAGCTGCGTTCCCCAGTCCGGACTCTGCTGCCAGCCAGGAGCGGTGTCGATGGCCGTCGCGGCAGCACCACCTCCAGTGCAGCAGCCCTCCAGCCAGCACCTGGCCTTCCTCACCTCCTGGAAGGCCAACGTAGCCCCCAAGCTGGCGCAGATGCTGCAGCTGTTGCAGCAAAAGGAGGTGGCCACCTCCTTCTCCATAGCCCAGGTGCTGCGCCTGCGCCCTACCGCCCATCACCCTGCCGCCGCCGCCGCGCTGGCCGTGCACCACTCCTGTGGCCGGCTTGCGTTCGTTGGCCCTTCCGCTGCTGGACTTGCCGCCGATGCCGGCTGGCCTGCCGCCCTCTGCTCAGCCCCGCCGAAGCGGCGGCCCGCGGAGCGCATTGTCCGTTGCCCTCCACGGCTCCCCGCCGCCTGCCAGCATGCGTGACGCAGCCAGCCCCCTGCTCCGCACCCTCCCCTCGCCCGCAGATCTGGACCTACCTGCCGGTGCTGACAGAGGGGCGCCAGATCCTCAAAGCCGAGCAGCTGTGCCTGTTGGGAGACCCCGAGCTGCAGCACTTCCACGCAGCCTGCACGCAGGAGGGCGTCACCGTGAGGTGCGCTGCTCCCGGTACCCCTCTGTTCACTGTCGTAACCCCTGCTCTCACAGCGCTCGCCCGGTCTCCCGCCGGCCTCTACACAGCGACTCCCGAGGGCCGTGCCCGCGCAGCCCCACCCACCGCGGCGCCCTCCTGCCCCCCCCCCCACC